CGTCCATGGCGTCCAAAAAGCGTCCATTTAGGTCAAAAGCGGTTTTAGACCAGATAGAGAACAGCGATAGTAAATTAAAACCACTTGCAGAATTGAGTGATGATTTTTGGGGAAATTCGTCATCAGACACTGAAAACGATTTTGTGACTGAGCTCAGTGATGTGCGAACTTGGCGATCCATTTCAAATGTCAGTGTTTTTGGTTTGATTACATTATTGAATTAAATGTATTTTATTTTTTATGATTATAATATTATTTATGATTTCGTATTTCAAATTTTATCCTATCCGGGATGTTTACTAGACACTTGTTCGGACAGATTTCAGTGACTTATTCCTAAAAATTATAGGCCTACAATAAAAAAAACATGTTTCCATGCAAAAAAAAGTATTGCTTCAGCAAAGAAATATTGACATAATCATACCGCTAGGGAGATTAAATGACAAATGCGCAGTCATGCAACACTGTACCCATATGAAATTATAATTTTTTTCACAGAAATAGAGCCTTCTTTTGGTGGTATGTACTCGCTGCTGGGTGTTTTTATTTTTGCACTATAAACAAAAAAAGTGCAAAATTTTGGGAAAAGTTTTTTTTTTTTTCTGTTTTTTATTAAATTTTGCATTTGCAAACAGGTAATTTTTCCTCCTTCACTGATGTGCGTTGATGAGGCGGCACTGATATGCGGCACTGCTGGGCACTGATCATCAGTCCCGATCCTTCCTCTGACAATTGCCAGTTATTGGCAATACTGTCCTCACATTGACAGCGTAAAGAAAGTGCAGCCGATAACCAGCAACTGCATTTACCAGTGATCTATGTCATTGGACCGGCTGATTACGTGGTTAAAGGCCACTGTGATTGGCCTTTTACCACATCACGTGATCAGCTGTGTCCGTAGGACACGGAGAGCTCCGGGGGCACGCGGGAGGGCGCGTTCTGGGAGGACGTCATATGACGCCCTCCCAGTACTGGCCGGCTGCGGTGAAGCCATAATTCGGCTATCTGCGGTCTGCAAGTGGTTAAACCTACTCACAGCCACATTCACAAGCTAACCTACCTAGCCCTATAAGAAATCGCTGTACAGATCTGTTCTGCAGCCGCTCTGGTCCCACGCTGCACTGTCTGCAGGGCTTCAGTGTGTAGGCAGGAGAGGCAACAGACAATGGAAGCCCCATAGTAAGTCTGTGGATGACGGCACATCCCAGGCATGCCGCAGCCTTTGTCGGTTCTCTCCTGCACACTGCATCTGCCCCTGGAGACCGGATCAGCTTCAGAAAATATATGTATTGTGATTTCTTTCATTTTAGAACGTTGCTGCGAATAGATTTAACATTTAGGGTTTGGGTGAACTTCTACTTTAACCTTACAGGTTATGCCTGTTTCAAGGTAGAAAAGGATAAATCTTAGGAGTCAGTCAGTGTCTAACAGTAGCAACTACCTTTTCTTTTCACTACTGTTGGCCCACTAATAATCAAGTATTCAAGGTAACATTTAATCTACTATCATGTCTCCAAAAGGAAAAAAAAAAGGAAATTCCTGGGATAAGCATCTTGAAAATGAGGAAGTGAAATTTTGAAATTTCCTCCTTCAAGCCTGAGAAAGAGGGGGTTACATTTGTGCATACTTAGTAATTTTTAGTTGTTTAGTTTCTTTACTCTTTTTTGGTTCTCAACCTCTGTTCTGTGGTAGACATATTAGTTTATTATACAGACCACAGGGCAAAAAAACTGAACTAAATGTATTTTGACAGGCTATGATGATTATAAGATAAAAAAAAAAAAAAAAAAAAGTTTTGTGAACATGCTACACATTTTTAACTCAAAAGAGAGATCAGTATAACAATCATCGCTCCATAAGACGCGCCTAGGTTTTAGAGGCGAAAAACAAGAAAAAAAAAATATTCTGAACCAATGGACTGCAGACACAGTACAGGGCATGACCAGAGACTGCGGACACAGTACAGGGCATGACCAGAGACTGCGGACACAGTACAGGGGATGACCAGAGACTGCGGACACAGTACAGGGGATGACCAGAGACTGCGGACACAGTACAGGGGATGACCAGAGACTGCGGACACAGTACAGGGGATGACCAGAGACTGCGGACACAGTACAGGGGATGACCAGAGACTGCGGACACAGTACAGGGGATGACCAGAGACTGCGGACACAGTACAGGGGATGACCAGAGACTGCGGGCACAGTACAGGGGATGACCAGAGACTGCGGGCACAGTACAGGGGATGACCAGAGACTGCGGGCACAGTACAGGGGATGACCAGAGACTGCGGGCACAGTACAGGGGATGACCAGAGACTGCGGGCACAGTACAGGGGATGACCAGAGACTGCGGGCACAGTACAGGGGATGACCAGAGACTGCGGGCACAGTACAGGGGATGACCAGAGACTGCGGGCACAGTACAGGGGATGACCAGAGACTGCGGGCACAGTACAGGGGATGACCAGAGACTGCGGGCACAGTACAGGGGATGACCAGAGACTGCTGACCTTTGGGGGGGAGGAGGAGCGGGTACCTGAATTTGACAGGTACCCGCTACCACTTCCGCGGAGTTGTCCTTCCCTCTTCTTCCCGGGCTGGCTTCTGTGACAGCCGGGTGTCCACTGCGCATGTGCTGCGCTTTGTGAATGGCCCGGCACCTTCTGGGACCTGTGTTGTGTCCCAGAAGACACCGCACCATTCACAAAGAGCAGCACATGCGCAGTGGGCACCCGGCTGTCACAGAAGCCAGCGCGGGAAGACTGTGCAGCGCTGGAGCGAGGAACAGGTAAGGCCCTGCAGGAGAGAACAGCTGAGCGGCCGGCCCGGTATTCTGACATGGTGGGCGGCAGAAATACCGGACCGGCCGCTTTATATTCGCTCCATAAGACGCACTGACATTTTCCCCCCTTATGCAGCAAAAAATACGGTAAATTCCATTTGAGACCCCATAAAATCTTGCCTTTCCAAAAGTTTATTAACAATAGAAAGGTGCAGGTAAGGAAAGTAAAACCACTTGAGTGAAGGAATTATAGCCTTTGGGTTGATAAACCTGTTCCCTTAAATACATTGTTAAACGTTAAGACTTTGACATTGAGCAAATAGATGACTTTTCTATTCCTATGAACCATATTCAATTTGGTAATAAAGCAAGGTAGGGCTATATTATTCAGCATATCAGATTACTGTAAGGGTAAATGATGTAGGTGAAAAGCTTCTGTTGTAGTTGCAAGAATGTAATGTGAGCAAAATATTCTAAAAGTTTATGGCTGGTAAATGCTTAACAGATTAAAACAGATTTTTGTCATGTTGGGAGGGGGGGGGGGGGGAGGAGGAAGTAACTAAATTAGGCTCTGACGTGCAGGCTGCTTAGTAGTTCTACTGACATAAGTGTAGGTGCTACCTATTTATCAATACCAAAATCTGCATTTCAGGTGTAATAAAAATACATTTTAATTCATTATTTTTTACAAATGTATCACTGCAAACCACAATAAACTGTTGGCTTTTTGGATGTTGTCCTACACCCTAATTACAAGAATTATAATTTACCACTTAAACTCTGTCCATGTCATCCTCCATAGTGAGGTGTTTTATACAGGGAAATTGGCTTTTAGAGAATGTATTTGTTTCCACTGTTTTAACCATTTACCTAGGCCAATTTTCAGCTTTTAGCTTTGTCACGCTTTGAATGACAATTGTGCAGTCATGTAGCACTGTTGTACTCAAACTGAAGTTGTGTACTATTTTCCACATAGGGCTTTCATTTTGTGCTATTTGATCACCACTGTTTTTTTTTTTTTTTTTTTTTTGTTTTTTTATTTGCTAAATAAATTTAAAAAGATTGAAAAATGCATTTTTCTTTCTGTTATAAAATTTTGCAAATGAATCTCTTCATAAATATTTTCCCCCTTTTTTATTTTACATACTGTGACCAGAACATAGTAACATTGTACTACTCTGGGGGGTTGATCAGGATTTTTTTTTATTCATTATGATTGCTTATAACAGTGAATTTCACTGTTATAAATAATTTTTTCTAAATTAAATCAATTCATTCACTGTTTTTGTTGTGATGTACAAGCTGATCACACGGTACAGATGAGCTGTGATTGGTCCTGTCTGTACCTTGTGATCACTATGACCAATCACAGCAAGCAACACCGTAGTACACAATGGATGGCATTAATGCAAGCCATCCATTGTGTACAGTTATCGTGATCTGCTGTGATTGGTCACAGTGATCACATGGTACTGGCAAGCAAGCCAGTACAGTAATCTGTCATCGGATGTATCCGGTGGACATACCTGGTGACAGATAGCACTGCAGCGTGTTCTGGCAAAGACTTCATAATAACATCCAGCCAGAACGGGAGAAATCCCCCCAATTATCATTTTTGTATAGGCCGGGCAGAAACTGGAATTTATCAAAACTGGAGCAGACAGAATCTGAGACAGTTGTACATGGCAACCAATCAGCTTTTATCTTCAGCTTGTTCAGTTAAACTTCTAAATGGAAAGAAAGCTGACTGGTTGCCATGCACAGCTGCTGCAGATTTGATAAATCCCCTTGATTGTAAGTGACTACTTGAGATAAGTAAGAAGGCAGTGTTCCCTTCAAAGTAGAAAGGTAACCGGACATCTGTGAGTGCCCTCAAGGTAACTTTCCTGTTTAAAAATGTCCTTCCAAAGTTCACCAAGATGAGTACCTAGGATTATTGTTTCTGCTGTTGAAAGGTTAAGAACTGCGGCACCAGTCTTTTTAGAGGTATGGTCAATTGAAGGCCAAAAGTGGTGATGCTAATAAAAAGTTCAAAGGAAATCTGTAAACATACAGATTTCACTTCAACCTTTGACAGACACAGGATTTTCTATGGGAGAGTCGCAGTGGAATTCACTGACTTATATATAAAACAGGCAGTTTTCAGTTTCTGTGGCCATAATTCAACTGTCTAATTGCTTAAGAAATCAACATGTATATTTCTTTTCCAACAGCTGGATTACGGGGAGTAGCACGCGGTGGACTGGCAGGCTTTGCTTTTACAAGTATCTATGCTTTATATAACAACTGGGAACACATCAAGGGGTCTTCAACACGGCTATCATTATGAACCTATTTGGAATTGCACAGAACTGCTATCTTTAGGGGTGAACTGTTTTCAGTCTCTTTCTGGACATTTTTACTTGCCTGAATTGCCACACTGGAGCCCCAAGGTGGACAATTGTTGGAGGTAAAGAAGGGTATTTAAGGATTTAGTGGACGTTGTTGAGGAACCATCAAAAAGGGTATTTAAGGATTTAGTGGATGTTGTTGAGGAACCAACAAAACACACGGCTATTGTGAAAGACTGGAGTCCATACCTGCCATCCCCTGAGCCAAGGAAAGGCCTAGATGAGAGGGATCTTTGTCAGTTTTAACATTTAAAAAAATATATGTATATTTAATGTTACCAAATGATATTTGCTGTGTCTTATTACTAGCTATCTTGTACTTTGAGCCTAAATTAAATCTGACAAGTTATGTGAAAATTGTCTTTTCTTTCTTAGTATGTTTAATTCTGTGGAGTGGACATATAATAAATACCTGACATTAGAAATCCATAGCTCCCCCTGTAGATTTCTCTTATAACATGCTAGTGATCAGGCTGTCATGATCATCCTTGGTTTAAATTCTTTAAAGGATAAGTTCGCCATTTGTAATGTGTTACACCTGTATTCAGGGTGTAACATGTGACTGTTGCAGCAGCTTCCACACCACACCCCCGATCCTTCATTGTGACAGTGAGCAGAGGATCTTCTTATATTCACTGTCTCACCCGGCCACATCATTCCTTGACAGAGTTCTGTGAATGGGAGAACTAAGAGTACTTGACAGCCTTTGCAGCTGTTGTCTTGTAGTTACTGAACTACCATGGCACATGTGAGCGCATTGGGTAGCTCATTGATGCTTCCTGTCAGTGTGTAACTGCCTGTTCATATGTAGTATGAGCGGACAGCTTATACTGACAGTCTGCAAGAGTCCTGTATTGCACTTGTGATCTATTGATCGTGGGTGTAATGCTTTGCAGGCTCTTAGTTAACCATTTGCCGGCCGGCCAATGGCCATTTGGCGGCCAGCAAATTCCCTCGCTGTTGTGGCTGGACGCCATAGGGCGTCCTCCCGGGCATGTGCAGTTTGCTCACCTGCAGAGCCGTGCAGCGGCGCGATCTGTCACCGGCCGTGTACCTCTGATCTGAGTACCAGCCCCATTGCCAGTACCATGTGACCTGCTGTGATCAATCATAGCAGGTCACATGACAGTTGTATACAATGGATGGCTTCATTCATGCCATCCATTGTATACTAGTGTGCCTAGCTGTGAATGGTCACAGCGATCACATGAACAAGCTGGCCCAAATCACAGCTAAGCACAAAAAAAAAAAAACCCTGAATAAATCTGTCATTCAGGTAAATGCTTGCTTATAGCAAAGTAATTCTTTGCTATAAGCAATTATGTAAAAAAAAAAATACTGATCACTTCCCCAAAGTAGTACAATGTTACTATGGTAACATTGTACTACTTTGGTCATAGTGAAATATGAAAAAAAAAATCTTAGACGAAATGTAAAAAAAATTTTTTTTTAAATTATGTTTTTTTTCATACTGTCAGTGTCCCTGATCACCGCCATGCCAGTTATATGATGACGCTGTACTGCACTAGTGACAGTATGTAAAAAAAAAAAAAAAAAAATTGTGAAAATAGTTTTTTTAATTTTCCGAAAAATAACTTAAAAAACTCGCCATGCCTCTTATGAAGTACGTTGGACTGTCTACTTTGATAAAAGGGGTCATTTGGGGGATATCTGTACTGTTCTGACATTCTTGGACCTCAAGAAATTAGATTGGCCGTCAGTATTTCAGGATTGGTCAATTTTCAGATCTATACCATAGTTTGTGAGCTCTATAACTTTCCTACAAACTAAATAATACATCCTAATTTGGGTTATTTTCACCAAAGACGTAGCAGAATACATCTCAGCCTAAATTTATGAAGAACAATTTATTTGCAAACTTCTAACTTTTTTTTTTTTTTTTTTTTTTCAAAATTTTCAGTATTTTTGTTAATTTTGGGTACAATGTTGTATGACCACGCAATTCTCATTCAAAGTGTGAGATCGCTGAAGCCTGAAAAATGGCCTGGGCAGGAAGGGGGTAAAAGTTCCCGGTATTGAAGTTGTTAAAAATAAATGCACTTTTTTACCTGCAGATTTATTAATTCTTTTATACAGGTGAATTTATCCTTTTAAGTCCCTATCCTATAAAAAGTATACAGATTAGTATTTTGGACTGCACTGGCTGCATACTTGTTTCAGGTCTGACCCAGAAGAGCCTCAAACCAAACAGCTGGCCAACGAACATTCCCCTTGTATTTTTAATGAGAAGTGTTCTAAACGTATACTAATAAATATTCAAACCTGGAGCCTTTGCTAAGACTTAAAAACCATGTGTAAGATTTCTACAGCCAAAGCTATGTAAATATTTAAAAGAAAACTAGAATGGGTGGCAGGCTACATGTACTGTACAGCCAAGGCATTCAACCTAGGATGAAAATTCTTTCTTCGTAACATAGTTAATCTGGTTGAAAAAAAGACACAAGCCCATCCAGTAGATGCAAGCTCTAGGGAAGGAAGGTGAAAATAAAATGAAAGCCCCAAGGTCCTCCCTCATCTTCATCACCAAGAACCTGAAGATTACTCCGGGTTTTAAAAACTCATCAACCTTCTGCTGTTCGACCATGAATAAACATTCATACATCACTTCATAACCAGGTGGGACTTCTGATCCTGGCACAACCTCCATGAACTGTTTGCAGTTCTGGATTTTGAGAAGCTCTGATATGCACAATTACACCATTGGCCCCTTCCCTTATAAGGGAAGATAAATCCTCTGTGCAAAAGCATTTTTTTCAAAAGAATCTGCCTACAGCACTGAAATGTCCCAAAATGACCACATCAGATACGTGTTGTATGTATGATGGTGAAAATCCGAACCCTGGCTTCTTTTGTTCAGTAGTCCAAAATCTCATTGCCTATTGTCCATTGAGTTACTCAGAAATTGTAAAATGAGTTATTTCAAGGCCTCGTACACACATGGCATTTGCCCTTCTCTCCTAGACACCTTTCCTCCTGGCAATAGTGTTTTGGCAGAAAAAACGCTTGGTGTGTGTAAATGCATCAAGCGCTTGGGCGCTCATGCATTGTATTGGCCAGAATAATATTCTGGCCATTGAAATTAACAGTGAAGCGCTTGATGTGCCTAGCATTAAAGTGATAGTAAAGCTTCTGATTTTATTGTTTTTATATAGCAACCATGCAATACTTACCTGCTCTGTGCAATTGTTTTACACTGAGCAGCTCCGATCCTCCTCCTCTAGGGTCCCCTACTGGCACACCTCTTGTCTGTGTACCCTCATAGCAAGTCGCTTGTTGTGGGGGCACACATCCGTGCTCGCTCCCAAGCCAGCTCCATGTGCACATTGGCACAAAGAGTGCTGCTCCCACTCCATGGGTCTTCAACTTTATGCTAATGTTATGAGCCTTTTACTTTGAATCTTCAATCAATGCTTCACTGTCTTCTACAATAACAGTAGTGCATATGGATCAGTCTAACCTTGGGAACCATACTTAGCCCTGTAATGTTACTTCAGGCTCTGAATTATGAATGGGCTCTCACCTCAGCACTTTCTGCAACACATGTGGTTAGCCGCAGGGTGCTATACAGGTCCAGGGCTGTGATCCATCCATATAGAAGCCTGGAGGTAAGACCGTGTCACCCTGTTTATTTGACTCATTACAGGATGGTCTGCCCACGGGCTGCTGTGCTATTCTTGTGAGAACACACTTACCCTAGTTCCATGACTACCCCACAGGGAAATACCCTCACCCATAGCAATGGTGGGTGCAACAGCAAATGCTCAGGCAAACATTCACAATGTGGGACTTGTGATGGCCCTTGCTTGGCTACAATGCTTCTATTGCACCAGAGCAGCTCTATCTCAGGCATGCAATCAGCAGTCTACTTGACTATAGCAGGCTTTCTAGAACACTTGCAATTTTCAGACAGCTAATAGCTTTTAATAAATCCATCACTGTTCAAGACCTCAAAAATGGCAAGCTCCTTCTCCAGCTCCACTGTAAATTAGATCCTGATATCCCTGCCCAGGAACAGGCAAACATGAAGGAATAATAAAAAAAAAAAAAAAAAAACCTGGAGGGTTCTAGAGAGGATTTCTCACCACAGGCTCCTATGCATCTGATGTTAAAGCTTCAAGCAATATGCATGCAACTGTAGATATACTCCTGCTGTACCCATTTGGGTAGAGACCTGCTGAATTAAAAAAAAAAAAAAAAAAGACATCCCCGTTCTGAAACAGAATAGAGATTTTATGACGACTGGGTCAATCCAGAAAATATTTTCACTCCTCCACCGATTACTGCAGAAAAAGTTAATGAAGAAATTACCTGTTTTGATAGTAGAACCTGCTGCCTTTCAAGAAAAAAAAATAGTAAATGCACATATTTTTGCAGGAAAGTGTGCATTTATTATTTTTTCCTACAGGGGCCTGGAAAGCATTGCACCCCTGATTAGGGGAGCAATGGTCAGGCTTCTGCAAGGAAGACCTGCAGCTTTCTGCCCATACCTTAGTGCAGGCTGTCTGTTAAAAGCGCCCTTGCAGTTCATTCAGAACAGTCCGCCATGGTAGTTTTTCATTCGTTCATAGAAAACTGACTAAAAGACACGGTCGTGTGGTTGGAGCCCTACGGGGCCACAAGGTTTTTAAATTGTGACTGCAAGTACGGGGAGAAGATCTAGTGGCTAAGATCTGGAACATGTTACCTATTACATCCTAAATAACGGGTGCTACATGCACCCTGTTCCAAATGGTGAACTTTAGCCTTTACAAAAACATCTCTGTACCAACTGAGGATGCTCCTTCTTTCAAAGATAGAAAGTTTGAAACACTCCTTAAAGGGAAGAATTTCTCTTGTAGGTCACAGGAGTGCATTCATAATCTACTGTGACCCATAATTGGCCAAGAGCGAGCTAAAGTTGACTGATGTCTCAGTGCTG